TTCTTAATGAAGTATCCTCATTTTTTATTGAATTCCTAAAAAACAATATTTATAATAATTTTAATAATTTTTTCGAATTTTTTTTAAGCTTTATTTTGACCGATTCACCCGATTCCTGATCCGAATCGCCGATTCGTCGATCCGGATCGGTTTTTTGGAAGCCCGATCCGGATCACCGATCCTTTTTTTAAACCATTGATCCAAACAATGCGGTTTAAGTAATTTTCCCTTAAAAAAACAAAAGAACATCAACATTAACCATTGAAACCATGCACCATATTCCATAGTGTCGCCATACAAAGAAACACACTAAAATGATAGTTGTGAAAACAAACACCATACAATAACCATACTGGAAAAAATCCTCTTGACACCTAAATTACACAAAGAGAAATACACCACATTAGATTTATTGTTGAGATTAAGAAGGTGATCCTTTCATGGTTATCCCCACTTTTCTCTCAGTTGGTGTGGATTCCTGAAAATATAGCTGAAGACCAAGCTCTCATCCATTCTCCTTAACATATACCTCTCCACCAAGACATATAAGGCGAAGGTCCATTGACCTTTATGACTAGGGTGGTGGGCACTCTCCACTCTCACATCCTTCTCATCCCCTCCATTTCCCCTGATATTTTGGTCCCATTTCATCTTCTCCATAATTACTTTGCTCAGGCCAATTCCCATTAGTCCTCCTTGCACACCATTTTTTTCTTTTGTTTCAAACCACAAAAATCCATTCTCATGGTCTCGTCTTTCATATGTTGCCTCATTTCCCTTTAATCGACCTTCTTCTTTCCTAACAAATGTATCCACCATCACTGTTCCACCTCCAAACCCTTGACAGCTGTGGATCTCCTCCCATTCCTGCTCCAAGCTCATCTTATAATACATGCTCTCCTTCAATTGCTGTTCTGGCTTGTCAAGCCCCCCTTTTTCCTTAACAAAGATGAAAGGACAATACCACTCCCCGATTTTGATGCATGTCGAGCTCTTCTGCGGGATTGCGAGATTCAAAGGGGGAAGTTGTGCTCGAAGAGCAAAATTCATGCCTTCGGCTCGATCCAATTTTACACTCTCTGATTTTGAAATATCACTTACCCACCCCTTCCTTCGTAGGAAAAGCGGTGGGCGGCCATCTGATGCTACGGACTTGCTAGTATAACCTTTAGAAAAAAGGTTTTTCTTAGGAATAACATTGATATGTTGATAGATATTATCAGGATTGAGAGGACATGGCTTCTTGTCATTCACACATTTACACCAGCAGAAGGATGTCCTCTCTTCCTCCAGTGAACAAGTGCACACCAACCTGCTCATGGTGATTCACTGCTTTAGGTCCCGTCGGAATAGTAGCAATGAAAGAGCTTGATAATACTCGAATACAAATTATAAAATAGAAAAGACTAAAAGATAGAGAAAAATGTATGACATTGTAAATTTTTGTTGAAGGATTCTTTTGTCCCTGCGATTAGGGATAGAAATTAAGGTTCAGAAACAAAATTAGAGAGCATCTAGTAAGACTTGTATGTAATGAAGAGATGGGAGAGAAATTTCTCACTAAAAAGACCAGTCGAGTGCTTACCCCTTATGTTTGCCATTTGCTTTGACAACATAATAGACATTAGATGACAAGGGCTGGCCGAGGACGGGGATGAAAAAGGCGTAATCGGTGTAAACGATGGTGCTATCTCCGAGATACAGAGTGTAAGAGGTACAAATGCACTTGTCCTGTGGAAAGGGCAGCTCCCTCACTTTCGGATCCTCGCATAATCCGCAGCAGCAAGTGCTTACAACTGAATCTTCCCCACAGTCTCGCAGAAGAAGGTAGCCGGAGAAAGGACCCTCCGGGGGCTCCGGACCCACCAAGCTTCCATCTTTGGCAGCCTGCAAATAGTGTGATAATGGTCGAGTAACATACATAATGAATAAACTAGTATCTCAATTCTCCTAAGGAAACATCTGAAAACTGGAATAGCAGTCTCCCCTGCAAATGAATAAAACTAGGAAGCTTAAGAAATGAGAGAATGGAAGATCAGGAGACATGAACGGTGGGAAGTGTTTCTTGTACTCCTCAATACCGTGGACGGACAAATTATTAAGCCCACATATTATAGGAATACATGAGCAAGATATTTTAGATTGGAACCTTCGAGAAACCTTCCATGGGTTTGAAACTTTGAATACATGACCGAAGTATTTTTCATTGGATCCTCAATGCCCATTGTTTTCATTATTTATAAATTATATAAAGCAATGAAGGAAAGTGACATGGTATTGCGTCTCCTCCGCATTTAATTTTCTATGGGTTCAGTATGGAAGGAGCTCAGACCCGTTGACTAACCAATGAGAATGCAACACATCATGGTCGGTGCTTTCTTATCCTTTTTCTAATTGGAATCGAGTTTTGGACACGGTTTTGGTGAGTCAGCCGACTCACCTATTACCGTGCAGTCCCTTGTCTATCCAATGCCCATTCATGTAATAGATGTCAAAAAATGTTACATCCACTAAAAGTTAAAATGGATGGTGAAAAAAGGAATTCAAAAAATAATATTTATATTTTCGATCAACAAAACTTTATTGATCACACAAATAACAATAAAAATTATCTAAATAACATCATTATCTTCAAAAACTTCATGAAATCATTCAAAATGATGCCCTAATTCGGCTGAAATCATTAATTTTGTGGAAAAAAAAAAGAAGCCATAAATTTTTTCTGAAAAACTGTCACAAATACACCATCAATCGACCAAAAACCCCTAAATAGGCTGCAATGTCTTGTGATTAATACTATTAAGATAAAAAATCATCTGATTAGATAAAAAATGGAGCCCTATTTCGCTTGCAATTGATGAAATGGGGAAAAATGGAAACCCTAACATGTTCTTGAGAAACCGTGACTTCAAATCACAAATGCACCCGTTATCGACAAAAGAAATCGAAAATAGGTTACAATATATTGTGCATAAAACTAATAAGATAAAAAACCTTCTGATTTGATAAAAAATCTTGGCTTATTTCGTCTGCAATTGATGAAATGGAAAAAATTTTGAAACCCTTACCTGTTCTTTAGAAACTGTGAGTTCAAATCACAAATCCACCAGTAATCGACCAAGAAACCCAAAAATAGGCTAAAAAAAATGCATGTGGGCGGCATAATTGACGAATTTTCCTTGCTTAAATAGATTCTAAAATTTTAAATTGAAAAAAAAAATCTCCTAATTAATAATTTTACCTCAAAAATTTGCTATAAAATATGATCCTACGAGAATATAATTGGCCACCAATTTTCAAACAAAATATATTTATTAAAATAAATTTTGTCCTCATCTACTAATCTACTAAGGTTGAATATTATTATTAGGAAAAATATCTCCATAGACCTCATTTTCAACTTTCATTTCTCTATCGGCTTAAAATTGCTAAACCTATCTTACTGCATAAAAATTCACTTTATTATATCTCAAAACCCCTTAAATATAATTTATTCATTTTTTACAAATTTTTTGATCCAAACAAATTTAAAAAAAAAAAATATTTCTAAAGCCCTCCCTCTTAGCAAGATAACCTTTCGGTCTCCCCTTATCAACCTCCTAAACCCTTCTCTCTCAAGCCCCCAAAATTTATTGCATTTCCCGGTAAACCTCCGGCCACTATAATTTTGTGAAACCGAAACTGCATTTTCAACAAAGTTTTGAGGTACAACTTACTTAGGTTGACACTTCTATAAACCGAATACGCTCTTATCACAACTTCAAGAGAACGTGCTTTGATATACTTTGAAAGGTGCCTTCACAGTAGTGAATCAGGTTCTGCTGGTGGAGATCCCCCATCTAGAGAGAGAGAGGCTACTGATTAAGATGGTAAGAGTAAAATGCCCGATCAATAGAGCGAGGTAAAAGGGGCAGCAACACAGTGGCAGTAGTGATCTTAGAGAGATAAAAAGGGGCAGCAACTCTGGCAATAGTGATCTTAGAGAGAGAAAAAGGGGCGGTAGTCGTTTTAGAGAGAGAAAAAGGGGCAGCAGCAAATTAGCGATGGTGGTTTTAGGGAGAGAAAGATGGGGGCAACATTATAGTGGCGTTGGTGGTTACAGAGGAATAAAAACGTCCGTCAATTCTCAGCAAAATTCCAGCCATTCAGGCTTTTCAGGGTAAAAATCCGGAGAAGTGGGGGGGGGAAATTCCAGTGAATTTGGGGCGAATTCCGGTGAGATTTATGACGTGACGAGGGGGCTGGCTTTTTTTGTTTCCTCTGATTGATGTAAAGCCAAGAGATGGATTTCCTATGAAGAGCTTGAGCTTGTCTCGTTTGCACACCATAACCACCATCCCCAACTTGAGAACTGGGAGACCCATTGGCTTTACGGACCCATAGCATTAAGCACCACTTTGCGAACAAGCATCAAACCTCCAAAACCCCGCATTCTCATTTGAATCACCATATCCACTTCTCATATAGCCGCCACCACCTTGCTCACCACTAGCTACACCAACTGCACTTCCTCCCGAAACACCAATCCCACTCGATACACCACCCCCACGACCACCAACAGCACCATAGCCTGCTGCCCCACCATACGCCCCATCACCCCCACCATAACCACCATATTGCTTCCATCATTGTTGAGCTGGAAAGAAATGGGTTGCCGAAATAGAGAGGAAGAACAGTCTGGAGAGAAAAACATGGGAGCAGAGAAATTGAAACACGTGCGGAGAGAAAGAGTTAGAAAAATATATATTTTTTAATTTGTTTGAAATTAAAGTTGGAATAAAAATAGATAAAGTTATTTAGAGGGTTAAAAGATATGATTTGAAATTTTGAATTTAAAAAAAAAATAAAAAAATAAAAATAGAGCCTAAAGAGATACTTTTTCTAATTATTATTATAATTTAAAAAATAAAATTATTTTTACTACTTCAACATAACCAATAGCATGTTGCAAAAGAGTTTAACCAATAAATAAATAAAAATATGAAGGTCTCCTTCAACATAGTCTTATGCAAACCCAAAAAATGAGATCAAGGTGAAGGTACATAGTGATGCTTAAACGTACGGGCGAAAATAAATCGAGAGAGAAAAGAGAGCCGAAGAAGAGAAAAGTAAAGTAGAGCGACTGAAAAATGAGAACCGTTTTTATGCTTCCCCAACAGTATAGAAGTTCTATCATCTCCTTACCATCCAGTCGTCTAATTTTGATCAAGAGAGTCATTTACCGTTTAATCTTAGACCGACGTCTTAAAGTATTTTATTTTTATTTTTTTATAAAAATTGTATGAATATGAAATTTGGTACGTGCCATCTTCTCATGGGGGCGCACTTATAAAAAATATTAAAAATAATTTTTCGATAAAATATAATAACCAAATCCCTTGAATCTTTCAAGGGTAGTTTGGTCATTTTATTTTATAGAAAATGTTTTTTTTTATATTTTTAGCTAGTATGAGTGTAATAGTGGAATGGACATCCAAAATTTGGTGTCAAAATTGTTTATAGAAAAAACATTAAAAATAAAATAGTGTAAAGACATGACATTATGATTAGAGCAATCTTAGCCCTCCATTTAGAATGGATGGTTGGATAAAGAGAATGATAGAACTTTTATCCTACGTCGAAAATTACAAGGAGAAAGCACTCTTATAAATGTCATACTTGGGGCTAACCTTTGCGAGTGGGTGTACGACTTCTGCGATTTTTAATAAAATATTGCACGGGTGATCTAAAAAGTTTTAAACATTGACACGTGGCTACTCATTGCAGGCCGAATCCTGTATTTCGCAAAAATCGAACGGGGTGGTCGATTCCTGTGTCGACGATTCACGGTCGGCTCTCCGATTTTTAAATCATTGATTGAGATTATTGAACTTTAAAGTTTTGGATTGAAAATAAGACATTGAGATATATTTTATAACAGTGTTTTAAAAAACGGCGAGCCGAACAGGACTCGCCCGGTTCGACTCGAAAACACGCGTGCCCGTGCCTGTTCCAACCAAAAATCGAGAACCGCCCGGTTCTAGAGTGGGACCGCAGGTTCCCAACCGGTTCTATCCGGTTCAGCCCAGTTCACACATGTAACGCATAACTTGCACGTGCGAGCGTATCCCACGCACGCTTACACACGTACACGTGTGTTCAAGCGCACGTGCGAGTGTGCCCCACGCACGCTCACACGCGCACACGTGTGTCCAACCGCACGTGCGAACGTGCCCCACGCACTCACACTTGCACACATGTGTCCAAGTGCACGTGCGAACGTGTCCCCCGGACACTCACGCATGTGCACATGCACACTTACGCGTCCACACGTGTGCTCAAGCGCACGTACGAGCATGCCCCACGCACACTCACCCGTGCACACGTGTATCCAAATGCACGTGTGAGGTTGCCCTAATATTTTTATACATGTTTTATAGTTCATATTGCATAGGTATTTATATACCAAAGTTGAATACCCATCTTTCGATGTGGGATAATTCCTAAACATCATTAAATGAAAACGAAATGTAAATATAGTCTATTAATCAACAATTTATAATCACATGTAGTTAGATGGCTTGATGGTTATGACTTTGATTTATTTACTTGAGGTCCCAAGGTCGAATCCCCTTGGGCATGTGTTGCATTCGAATCCCCTTGGGCATGTGTTGCATTTTTGTTGTGTATATAGTGGTTGGTATAAATATAAATATTTTTGTTGTATTCGAATCCCCTTAGACATGTGTTGCATTTTTGTTGTGTATATAGTGGTTGGTATAAATATAAATATTTTTGTTGTATTCGAATCCCCTTAGACATGTGTTGCATTTTTGTTGTATATATGGTGGTTGGTATAAATATAAATATTTTTGTTGTATATATAGTGGTTGGTATAAATATATATATTTTTGTAAATAATATAAAAGACATAAAAAAATGAAAAATAAAAAATTTAATTTTTTATATAACAGTTAATTTTTGTTGTATATAGTGGTATAATTATTTTTGTAAATAATATGAAAGGTATAAAAAAAATAAAAATAAAAAGTTTATTCTATTTGAAATCTTCATCTTTTTACTAATAATCTCTTTTTACTAAATTTATTATAGAAACCTAAAAAAATATATTTTTGAAAAATTGAAGTGTTATTTCCAAAATTTGTACGCATTTTATTAATTTTTACATTGACAACCAAATCTTTTATTTTATTTATGAATTTTTACATTATAAATCATGTAATGTACTATTTTTCTTACAGTTGTCAATAATACATTTTAAATTAGATAATATTATAAAATATTTTTAATTTGTTATTATTTATCTAATAAAAGAATTATAAAATGTAAACTAATAATTAAAATTTCAGTATATAATATTATAATTAGTGAGGTTGTAATAATTTTGGATTATAGTTAGTTAGGTTGTAATAGTTTGGGTTTTTTTAGCGGTTTAGGGTTTTTCGCCAAAACGAGATTTTAATGGCCATTCTTTCATTGATTAGTCTACTCTTTATAATAGTCCATATATAATTATATATTTTATCCATGATAATTCTATGATTTTTCTTTATGTGATGCAAATTTAATAGTTAAAATAAATTTATACAGGGAAAGTAACATACTCAATATTCACAAATTGATAAAAAAAATGAAAGTTAATAATGTAGTAACTCTCATTTTTTATTGG